TTTTATAAATGTATATACACACGTACTACAAGTTTGGTGAAGTAATTGGACTTCCAAGTTGCCTTGTCCTCCCTACCCATCTTAACGTGTGCGTAGGGATACCTTACGGAAATTTAAGGACTGCAACAAAATTATATATTTAAGAATTATACTTCATTTTCAAATAAATTAGAGTTAATTAAACAAACAATTATTATAATTGTATGTATATACATTAAGTTTTCTTAATGGTCGCCATGTGACCGACACCTACACATCTGTTTTTAACATACTGAGAATATATTTACAATTTTTCTTTTACATTTTTAATTATTAAATATTAAAATAATATTACGAGTTTATCTATTCGCGAACACACAAACTTTTAACATAATTATATCTTTAAATATCGATTGCAAAGTATTTTGAATAGTCGCCACGTGACCATTGATTGTATAAACTTTAGAAAACATCTTTTAGTAGTATATTTATAATCTTTCACATTTTGAATTGTTAGATATTAATAAAAGATTACAGATTTGTGATCCGAATCTAAACTATACGTAACAACGAATGTATATGTGAAAATATAAGAAATATATAAAATTAAATAAAAAAATATATCTCACCGAAGCAACAAAAATTATGTAGTAAAAAGGAAACGGAAATAAGGTTTAAGAAGCATTTTCACTGTTCGTCGTTGATTAAAAACTAGTATAGATTGGGTAGCTACGATGTAAAATTTATTGTTTCCGGTATTTTGTGCGCCACCTGTTGGATGATAATTATAACGAATATCTAAACATAAACTATAGACTCAATAGATAGCGCATGTATTACTAAATATCTATAAACATTTTGGAATTTCGTTTCGTAGTAAGAATTAATATTGGGAACATACTGTGTTGTTCTTATCCAGACTATCAAATGATTAAAAACGTATAAAAGACAAAAAAATAATATCTGTTGATATATCTATTGAGTATATAGTTTATGTCTATATATTCGTTATAATTATCATCCAATAGGTGGCACAAAAGAAACCGGAAACGATAAATTTCTCTTTGTAGCTACCTGATCTATCTTGGTTTATAATCTACGACCAATAATAATAATGCTTTTTTAAATTGATTTCCGTTTCCTTTCCACTACATAATTTTCGTTGCTGCGGTGAGATTTATTTTTTATTTATTTTTATATATTTCTTATATTTTCACAGAAACATTCTTTGTTACGTATAGTTTAGATTCGGATCACAAATCTGTAATCTTTTATTAATATCTAACAATTAAAAATGTGAAAGATTATAAATATATTATTAAAAAATGTCAAAAGTTTGTACAATTAATGGTCACGTGGCAACTATTCAAAATACTTTGCAATCGATATTTCGAGATATAATTACGTTAAAAGTTTGTTCGTTCGAATTGATAAACTCGTAATATTATTTTAATATTTAATAATTAAAAATACGAAAGGAAAATTGTTAATATATTCTCGGTATGTTATAAACAGATGTGTAGGTGGAGGAAAGGTTATGTCACATGGCGACCATTAAAAAAACTTAATATATATGCATACAATTATAATAATTGTTTGTTTTATTAACTTTAATTTATTTGAAAATGAAATATAATTCTTGAATATATAATTTTGTTGCAGTCCTTAAATTTCCGTAAGGTRTCCYTACGCACACGTTAAGATGGGTAGGGAGGACAAGGCAACTTGGAAGTCCAATTACTTCACCAAACTTGTAGTACGTGTGTATATACATTTATAAAAATATTATTTTATTTTTTTACCGTTCTTTAATATAAACTATCTTTGCATGAACAAAAATCATTTAAACTGTTATCTTGTTTTCCTTTCTTAGCAACTTCTCGATGACTTTCCAAAATGTTTCATCGTTGGAGCGGACAATGTCGGGTCAAAGCAAATGCAACAGATTCGTATGTCCCTGCGTGGCAACGCAGTTGTACTCATGGGAAAGAATACTATGATGCGTAAGGCTATTCGTGGACACATCGAAAGAAATGCAGCTTTGGAAAAATTATTACCACACATTAGGGGTAATGTTGGATTTGTTTTCACTCGTGGGGACTTGATTGAAGTCAGAGACAAATTGCTGGAGAACAAAGTACGAGCACCGGCTAGGGCAGGTGCTATAGCACCTTTGAGCGTTATCATTCCAGCACAAAACACGGGTCTCGGTCCAGAAAAAACTTCTTTCTTCCAAGCTTTAAGTATACCGACCAAAATTTCGAAGGGTACTATTGAAATTATCGTAAGTGTATATTCATGGAAGATTAATGAACCATCCGTTAAACTTCGAAGACTAATATTTGTCATTTTATATTTTAGAATGATGTACATATCTTAAAACCAGGTGATAAAGTAGGTGCATCAGAAGCAACTCTTTTGAATATGTTAAATATTTCTCCATTCTCGTATGGGTTGCTTGTCGAACAAGTATACGATTCTGGTACCATTTTTGCACCTGAAATTTTGGATATCAAACCCGAAGATCTTCGCGAGAAGTTCTTAGCTGGTGTTGCTAACTTAGCGGCTGTTTGTTTAGCGATTTCTTATCCGACTGTCGCTAGCGCACCGCACAGCATTGTTAACGGTTTCAAAAACTTGTTGGCTGTTGCTGCTGCTACTGACGTTGAATTCGCTGAAGCGATGACGATCAAAGAGTACATCAAGGTATATAAATTTTAATCAAATTATAATCTAGAGTTTCTATTGAGATTATTTTATACACATATGAAGAAAACAATACGCGTCTAAAGGGTTTGAGTCCCATGTCAGAGCTAGAAATAGCTGAACCCACTGGCATGTCAAATTCATTGTTGATAATTAGCGTGAACTCGCTGTCTGATAATTCTTTCTTTAAAAATGAATGATTTTTTTATACATCAAAACGATTACTTAATATAATATGATTATTTTCAGGATCCTAGCAAGTTTGCAGCTGTTACCACTACTGTTGCTGCACCAGCAGCTGCTGCTGAAGCTCCTGCTGTTGAAAAGAAAGAAGAAAAGAAAGAGGAATCAGATTCAGAAGATGATGACATGGGCTTTGGACTTTTCGATTAAACAAGAAAACTTTCACGGTAACTCTTACGTTTTAATAACAAAGATTCTGTTGTCATTTCTTACGGCTGACATCCAAATAAATTAAACACTTTATAATGAACTGATAGAATATTATTATGTCTTTTCTTATTCTCTTTTATCCTAATTATTTAAAAAACTATTATAAACAATTCTTTTCTTACAAAGTACGAGATTTATATATATATATATATTAATAGTATTGATTTGTTTATAACAATAATTATACAACTTTTATATAATACGAAAGATTTTTATACAGAATTAAAATCTACACAATCAATAATAAATATTTCTAAAGTTTTATATAGAAATAGATATCGTTGATATGGTCTTTTTACACTGTTAAAATAAAAGAAACTATCTAAGCGGGTAATATGATTAAACATATATCTAATTATTTGAGTTGAGGTATTATTAACAATTAATTTACATTTCTTCCCTCGGTCATTCTTGTCCTATTTTTTTTCGTTTTAGTGGTAATATTTACAATATGTAGTAGATTTACATTTTACCGACCGTCAGCTTAGTCGGTAAAGCTCAGCCGATTACAATTCAATTGGTAATAGTTCTGCCGGTAAAAATTCAGTCGGTAAAAGTTTAGCCGGTAACAACTCAGTCGAGATAGTTCAGTCGGTAATATAGAATAAACTCTTGATGAGATAGTAATGAATTGGCAACTAAGTGATTGCGGATTTTTTTAAAAGTAACCGCAATCACTTAGTTGCCAATTTTATATTATATTATTATATATAATATAAAATAATTATTCCTAATAACTAAGAAAGAAAAAACATAGGGAGAATAAATTCATTTACGATTTAAAATGCAGCAATTAAAAAAAGTTCCTATAAGAAATATAATGAAAGATAAAAATACTAAAGTTAGAAATGGCAAGAAATGATCTTTCTCTGGATCCATGTTAATTACCGAGGAACATTAAAGAGGCAACAATAAACCGGATAGAGGATTTATGCAATCACGTATTGTGGCACGTTTTGTAATTTTACTAATCTGAATACGAATGAAAAACACTTTACGGTAAATGACGTCAACCTACAATCGAACGAAGATGTTTATTCAATTCTAGGAAGAAAAAAAGTTTTCGAAAAAGAATGAAAAGAAAAAATAAAAAAAAAGAAAAGCAAATATATTCACATTATCGATGTATATAACCACATATATAGCAGCACTTAATTCGACGAACTCTATCTGGATTTTGCTTTAAAGTAGTTCAAACAAGTTGATAGATAGTGATAAGATTACAAAAAATTGTAATCTCTAAGGTGTGTTACGATTCTGAAATCATTCTGTGTTGAAATTTCACCTGCGACGCGTGCTAAATATCGAAATGCCAGGTAACGAGACATTCATTATTTTTTAATCTGTTCAAAGAGTATCTTTAAATACGTTATATTATTATTTAATCAACAATATAATAATTAACATTTTATAAAGGATAAATGTAGATTTAACTAATTGTTTTAGTTGTAAACCATTTGACGTAACATTTATACATGCATAACAATACTCAACATATACTTTGTTATATTTTCTATTATTTTTATTAAATTGTCAGGAATATTTTATAAAAATGATAATGTTATTATATTATAATAATTAACAGCTTATAGATGGGTTCATCGGTCAGCGGGATCGTCAATACCCCCAACAGCTGTTGTCGGTGGACGTGACGTAGATGGTACTACCATTTATGTTGGTAAAGCTTATCACGATGGTGATGTACTTCCAGCTAAAGTAATTCCTGACAAAAATGTTGCATACGTTTGTTACAACGGCGAGGAACATGCCAAATCTGATTTCGAGGTACACCATCAATGATTTTATATAAAATCTAATTACATACATATATGTTTCTTTTCTTTTCTTTTCATATTATTTTTCTATTTTTCATCGATACAATTCGTTCGAATTCTATATGCAATGTTATATTGTTATGAATTTATATTAGAAATAAAAAGAAATTTTTTTTTGATTGAAATATAAAAACAATTCGATACACGTATATAATTGGAATAATACGAAATGTTAGATCATTCTAAATGATTAGTAGAATATTTTATCGATTGATTTTGATTCTCTTGTAATCTTATCAAATTACTAAGAAAACAAATGATATTATTACCGATATGTTACTTTTCGCACGAATACGATTATTCAAAGTTAATCATGCGCATAATGAAATTCTAAAATAAGAAAACTAACTAACGGGTTAAGAAAACTTCTTTTTATTTTTCTATTTCTTTTTTTCGGGCTAATAAACCAATCTCATTATTCCACGAGACGGATTAAGCGGATAATTTCGTAGCGAGGTTTAATCGTACAATTTATAAAATATATAAATATAATATTATATAATATTATATTATATATTTTATATTATTATTATTTTATATTATATAAAATTATATAATAAAATATTTAATAGTATAAATTTATAAAATATATACAATATATAATCATTTAAACTGATTATTATTTATTGTTAGACATTTTAATCAAATACATCAATTGAAATTTTGGATTTAGGTATTATGCCAAAGCGAATACGTATGGGAATTTTGCAATAGCGGATCAATTCCTGCGGATGCAGTAGCAGGTGGTGAAACAAGCGACGGTGAAACATTATACATTGGTCGTGTTCTTCACAATGGTTCTCAGACAGTTGGCAAGGTGATAATTCAAAAATATATTAATGTATTTAATTATTAATCGATAATTTGAGTGATCGATAATTAAATCGTTTTATTTTTTTCTTTATACAGGTACAACCGAGTCACGGTTGCCTTTACATTCCTTTCGACGGTGAAGAATTATCCTTCAAGGATTACGAAGTTTTAACCATTCGTTAATATACTTACTTTTAATATCTTTCGTTTATGATTATAATATGATGATATAATTAACATGTTCAAAATACAGAAAAAAGAAAAGGAAATCAATTTATTCATAGTGTTAATTTTGAAATTTGTTTTGTATACATAAAAATAGTTAATGCGAAGTCTTTTATTAAATAGTTACTGTATAAAAAAAAGCAGTACTTTACTACATACAGTATTTGATTGTAAGAAACACAAGATAATAATTAAAACAAAATATCTATAATAGATTTCTAATTGTTGTTTGTTAGTAGTGCTCTACCTTTATCTTACCGACCGAGATTTGATGGTAAGTTACAATCAGATATCCCAGTCGGTAATTCGGATGGTAAATTATCATCAGATCTCCCAGTCGGTAATTCGGATGGTAAGTTACCATCAGACCTCGGTCGGTAATTCGGATGGTAACTTACCATCGGATCTCGACCGGTAAGTTACCATCAAATCTCGGTCGGTAAGATAAAAGTAGAGCACTACTATTACCAATTTCGGCTTAGCTATGTTACTAGAATTTCAATATATTTGAAACTTTCTTATTTCCTAGTAACTTTTAATAGTAATTAGTTTACACAACGTGAATGTTTAATTAAATTCTATATACATTTAAAAACAAACAACAATTAGAAATCTATTATTTAAAATTTGTTTTTAATTATTAAATAAAGGGGTTACTCTTTAAGAACGATTTCTTTGAACAGGTATTGATAAAAAGAGTTACTAGATTAAAAAAAAGACTGATATCATACGGGAGCTAGAATAATCGGAAAAAAACGAGCAGACAAAATTTTCTTTTGTATTTATATTTTTATTAACACATATTTTTAAAGAAATACGTATAGAAATATATATACGTACATACAAATAATATAAATATTAAGAATAAATTCAATGAACGATATAAACGATAAGAAATACTGCGATCTATCGAAATGACTAGTAGTTATTGATTCGAGAAATCGAGCATTCGATAATGTCTGCGATAAATTTAAATGTCGCATAAAGATATATGGTACAATAATGATTATTATGTTTTAATCTAAACCTTGAATAAAGAATTTATCATTTACAAATTAAATAATTTTTCTCTCTATTAAATATTCATGAATATTCTTCATTCAAAAGTAGAATGATTTATATTTATATAAGAGAATCATTTAATCGAAAATAAAGTTAGTGGAATTTTTCATTTTAACAAACCATATACATTTTTATCTATTTATCTGTATTTCTTGTTAAGATAATATTTATAATCAATGATTAAATAATATTAATGATAAAATATAAATACGAAAAGAACAACGATATTAAATATATATATATATAAATAGTTGAAGATGAATATTGTATTATATCGAAAAAGTAATGAAACTATTTTTTTTGCAATGAATTAGATAAAATCATCTTTTGTAAACAAGTTAGTGTTCATAATCGTTGATCAGGCGTCGACTTACGAGTAGCTTGGTAATATAATTCTTCCATTATGAAAGTTCTAGAGCCACCGAGTGCCAATTGATTGAAACAATCTATGCATTCCAACAACACGTGATGTAATTGAACAGTTCACAGACTGACTAACAATAACGACTGAGGGCTGAAAGATTATTTTATTATACCCTTCTAGAAACTTACTCTCAATACTATGCTCAATAAAATAATTATTGGTGTTTATATCGTTTAAAAAAAAAAAACAAATTTAAAAGAACAAAATAATTCCCTACTCTATCAATTATACATATATTAATACAAAAACTTTTCTCTAATCGTATTATTTATATCAACAATAACATTACATCAATTTATATAATAACATATACATATATGTAACCACAAAATTTAGAATTATGTTTTATGAATAATAAATTGATAGTATATTAAAATAATGACATTGTATGCATACGTGACACACCCCAAGAAAATATTATTTCCGACCATTAAAGAAAGAAAAACATTTCAATTTATGAGCTTGTGTTATATATGCAACAAGAAATGAATAATAGCTTTCATATTTTATTAACTTATATATATTTATATATATATATATATATATATATAA